GTTTAGATTAGCTCCAGAGCTGGTGTAAATTAATTACTTCCCATTGTTTGCAGTGGGGAGAAAATAGATGTGTGGCTTGTTTAAACCTAATGGGAAAGGGACAGAAAAACCCACATATCTATCTGTCCTCACTTCTGCCCTGCTGCTCCATTATTGGCAAAGCATAAATTCAGGGCTTCCAACAATGGAAAAATTATGTATATATTATTCCTTTAGACTGCTGGTCAGAACTGCTATGTTAGTCTTGCTTTCTTCCCATCAAACCCTGTGGCACTCAAATTAGTAATGGTTAAAATAAATCCCCTTATTTTTTATGAATTTGTGTGATTAGGCCCCTACATTGCCCTAAACCATGGTTGGGGTTGCACAACACATTAAGCCGAAGCCAAGATACCACATCATGGCTTAATATAGTATCTGCATATAGTCTGTCACTAAATTTGCCTAGATCCAATCCACTCTATTTAAGATTTCTAATGGCTTCATTACCTGCTGGCTCATCAGTAGATTTTCCAGGGAGACAAAGTGTGAAAAATAAATACACGGACCTGTCAAGAGTTCCACATAAACTGAGGATTTTTCATTAATCCCAGTGTTTAGGAATAGTCTGTACAACTCTTTATGAATGAGGATACTTTCCCAATGCTGAAACAAATAGAAGACAGTTGAGTTTTATTGTACTGAGCTTAGTTCATACATTGACTTTCAGAACTTTGCATTGGTGTGATTTCCCATTTGTATAGAACTATAAACAAAATTCAAATAATCTGGATTAATGAGAAAGTACTGTGTTTCATTTTTTAAAATACACTCATGAGGGAAACGTCTCATTGACATAAGTAACTGACAGATGAATGATTTTGTCCAATTTGTAGGGGATTGATTTACGGTTTGGTGATCTCAAGGAAAGCAGTTTAATTTAACCAAAGTCAATTGAAAGAAAGCTCTGTGGCCTAACTACGCTACCAATTTTTAAAAAAATGAATAGCAATCCTCTTTTCCCAAAGATACCCTATTGAGTCTAAGGTGGAGAAAGACAATTTTGAACACTCATAGAATTATAATTCTCAGCATTCTTGGTGGGAAGTCATAAATTAAATTGGCATCAAGTCAATAAAACCCAGTAGAGTAGCTGCACCTGGTGGGAAAAGACAGTCATACTTCAGATTTTAAAAAGTAAGTAAAAGCCTCAAAAGCTTATGCAATGATCCAAGTATTTGTCTTTAAGATGCCACAAAATTCTTAGTTGCTATACTTTTTAAAAAAATCAACCTGTTAATAAATATCAGCTTGATTTAGGCTGATTTTACAGACAATGAAAATGACCATGTTTCCGTAGAAATGTTCTGAGCACCTGATTGTCAATCTGTTGGGGAAATTCACTGTTGCCTGAGTCACAGAAACCTGAAGATCTGCTCTGCTTGATAGCTTCTGAAAATGGTGAGGGTAACCTGTTAGTAGGGGTCTGTAAGATTTCCGGTGCAAGGCACCGGTCCTTCTGTGCCCTAGTGCAGGGTTGTTCAACCTCAGCAACTTCAAGATGGGTGGACTTCAACTCCCAGAATTCCCCAGCCAGCATGGGGAATGGGGAATTCTGGAAGTTGAAGTCCACCCATCTTAAAGTTCCTGAGGTTGAGCAACCCTGCCCTAGTGGTAAGCATTTCAAATGAAGAGTTATATATTTCAGGAAGGGGGAGTTAAATCATTTGAATTATGTGAGGGCAGAGAGCAGCAGGGATATAGCCCATCAAGGGCAACAGTGTCCCATTTTTAGCAAGATGCATGATTGTGTATAATGTTCTACAGAGTCCATGGGGAGTTACATGCTATCCTTATCCTTCTCTATAAACCTGATTTTCCTGCAAGACAGCTGCCCAGATCTCAGAACTACACCGAGATGTCTTTGTTTCTTAGTTCTTCTTTCATTGTAAGGAACCAGTTCTTAAAAATGCATAGAGGGCTGGGTTGGAGACTGACTGTATGGCACCAGAAAGTGGAAAGTGGCTTTTCTTGATGATATCTGTATGACTTTTATAACAACAACAGCTGGGCTGATTGTGAGATTTGCTGCCTGTATGACATTTCCACATGCAGCCATGACAGTTCCACTGTCTTAATCTAGAGCAGTGTTCCTCAAACTTGTCAACTTTAAGATGGGTGGACCAACTGGGAATTGAAGTCCACCCATCTTAAAGTTGACAAGGTTGAGGAACACTGATCTAGAGAGCGGTGGCATTCACATCACTACATAATGGTTATACAAGAGATGCCAATTCACTACAGAGATGGTATTTCTGCTTTTTCTTCTCTGACAAGAGCTTGAGATTCAAAATGATTTGTGATAAGCTCTAGAACAGAGAATAAGCTCTAGAACAGAAGCCCTGGGGTTTCCTACTGCCTGGATGTCCCCCCCCCCCCCCGCTTTTCTTTTCAGCCCTTGGAATCTGATCATACTTGCCAAAAATTGGTGGCATGCTTTCTGGACATTTTGGGATGGAAACAAACACGCACACAGTTAATCCATAAAAGGCTTAATTTATAAAATAAAAATCTCCCAACTCCTCTGGATACAAAACAAGAAAAATAAAAAAATTCTGGCTCTGCCTTCTTGCATCATCGTCCACCCACAGTGCCTCTCATCCCCCCATAAGACATTGTGTGCCCCTGGATCTCAAAGGTTTGCTCACCCCACCCCACCCCAACAGACTGGAGTTGTGGCTTAGATGTGAGCCTCCTATTGTATTCGTTGAGTCTTTATGGTACTCACAATTTCACAGGACCACAACGATTCCGTTAATAAAAAGATGAGAGTCAAGTTTAAAACCTTCATGCCCTATCCCGCCCCCCTCCCAAATTTCTCCATTAGCTTACACTGCAGCCTTGTTGAATTTATCTTCACAATGCAGAGTTATCCTGCAGTAAAAAGCTGACGGCTAAAAAAAAGTACTTGCAATGAAAGCTGGAACATATATTAACGGTCTCTATTGTAGGATATATTACAAGGATGTTTTTACTCCACTGATCGTTACGAAATGAAGGGCTAGATAATTTGAATTGAAATAACATGATACAACAAAACCTTTAAAAGAGTAAGAAATCAAATCAGAATAACGTGAAGGAGTCCAGCCCCACATGGACCCCATTTCTACTTCCCACAGAATCCAACGGGACAACAATCCCCTTGGATGGAAATCTTCCCATGGTTTCTATTTCTACAGAGGCTCACCTGCTTTGCCCTTCTGCCTTGACCCATTAAAAACCCGGACCTTTTGTGATCAAACTGCCAGCACAGAAAACTGTGAAAACACGCTGGAAAACGGGAGCACTCCCATCAGAATGAAGAAAGGTCTTTAAACCTCCTCTCCATTTTCATTGATGGAGACAGTATGTATTTTAATAGTGGGTACTTGGTGGTCCTTTGGCTTTTTCCCTAATGCGTTTGCACAGCAGCACTCTCTCAGGAACCCTTTGCTCTTCACTTTGGCTGTAGAACAGCTGGACCTCTCTTTCAGAGCACTGCTCTTGGTCGACATGCTTTGCACGGCTGAAAAAAGTTTCCATTCACACACACCATCCGATTTGGAAATCCTATAGAAGTTTTCTCCAGAACCAACAGGTATACGGACAATATCTTTTGGAGCTTCAGCAACGTGGTTGCTTGGGTGACTGAGGGTGAAGCTAAGGGAATATTTGTTGGATGAATACCTCCTTGGGAGACACTGGGCTCTTAGAACATTTTGGAATGCTTTTTTAAACTCTTGACTCGAACAAGGATAAATGATAGGGTTGATGCAGCTGTTGAGATATCCAAGCCAAAAAGCAATTTTAAAAATGGTGTCTGAGGCCTTGCTGTCAGGAAAGAACGAACCTGAAATGGAAACAAAGCAAAAAGAATTTTAATGGATTTATAAAAACACAACTTCAGAGGGTCAATGGGTAAGGAATCAGAGGAACTGAAGGTGGTGGTGGTGGGGAGGATTTCGAAGTTTATTTTTTTGTATAATTTCATTAAAGATGTTTTTAAAAAGAAGATAAAAATTAATACAAATGAATATAAAGTGAGGAAATAGAAAAGAAATCAAAGAGAAAGCTAAAAGTGGAAGAAAGGAAAAAAGTACAAGAAAAATAGAAAGAAAAGATACAAAGAAGTAGCCTCCAATGGATTTCAAAGTTTCTAAATAAGCCATCATCTCATAATTCAATTAATCCCAGGGCAAAAAATGTATTTCAGAACCTAATGTAAAAAAAAAAAAAATCAGCTAAATGTATCTGTGTTTTCAGTCCCTATTTATTTTGTCGGGAGAGGTTGAAACAGTTAAATCCATAAGACACTGAAATGCTTAAGTCTGCCTGAATCTTTTAAAATTCTTTTTATTTATTTAGAAGCATTACCAATTAACCATGTAGTGGCCTGAATATAGAAGCAACATACATATAACCTTATCCAATGAGATCATCTAGGAACCGGGAACTAGATATGGACAATAATGATGCCTTTCTTGTGCATAATTAAGCTTAAACCAGGTGAAGTAAAAAGCCATCTTCTGTGTTGTAACTTTGCCAACTTTGGCTGTAGAACCTCCGGACCTCTCTATGTCTGAATTGAACGCTACAAGTATTACAAAGTGAACAGTCATTCTACTTCTGTTAGCCAAAGCACTAAGATGCTAAGCAGAACTACTTGGAAGTAAGCCCTTGGATCTATGGGAATAATTTCTGAGCAAACCTCCACAGTATTGCATTGTAGAGACAACCCCTATTGCAAGGGATCGCTTTCCCTTTAAAATCTACCCAGTGCGACCCTCCCTGTGCAATGAGTCAACACCCCTATCAGCAGGATGTCCAAGAGATCTGAGAGGAGAGAGTGAATACAAGTTCAGAAGAAGCTGAATTGGCTAGAAGTAATTTTATGCCAAGTCCATGGTACATGACCTGCTTATCAGCTCCTACCCATCACGGGCAGGTGGTGCTTCTGAGCCCCTGCCCACTGCATGAATCATGTGCAACATCTGGTCTATGAGATTGGGGTGACAGTGATGGTGGATCAGGCTCTGCAGGTGATCCATTTGGTTGCTGGTGGGAGGGAGAGCATGAAGCAATATGGCACTATCAACCTGGCTTATGTTGGGACACCAGTGGGAGGGGAAACATAGCCACCAATCCCCACATCTTAACTTGTCCTGCAGTAAATGGTTAGTACCATCTAGAACTTTGTTACTGAAGCTATTAAGGTGAAGCACATATTTCAGAAATGCCTCACAGACTGGAGGAAAACATGTTAAAATGGCCTTCTAGATCAT